TCCTTATATACTTAAACTATCATCACTGTTGTAATTTATTTTCTGCTTATAATTTTACATTTATTATGTTACATAAGTTTTATTATCAAACCCGTTTCAGGACATGTGCTCGGGATCAGGGCAAAACATGCACTGGGAATGCTGGAATCTCAACGGTTATGATTCAGAAAAAGAAAGAACGTTGGACGATATGAATTTCCTAAAGGTAGCAATAGTCTTTGCAGAACTTATCATGTTTCCATTAAAAACAATATTATTGCTATATAAGAATGTATCACTTTATTGAGTTTTGATTCCTTTACCTCCCCTCATCCTGCAAATAATTTGCAACAATACATTTTATGACAGGAACGATAAATTGGTTTTTGGCTTAGCGTTCTCACATGAGTAAAGCTGCAGATGTGTTAGCGTTATGGTTTATATATTTGTCTTTGATCATAACGCTTCAGATCCCGTAATGCAAAAAATGTGCAATTTACTGAGCAATATTTTTTTCGCGCCTTCAGATCTGTGGCAAACATGAGTACACCTTGGTTATTTTTTTTTGCTGAATTTTATATTTATATCTTAATCACGTTCTATCAAAGCATTCAAAGACCACGAATGGAGCAGGTGAAATTGCACAGGATTTATAGATGGCACTTTAAAGTGTGTCTTTAAATTTTTGTCTATATGTTGTTAGCAATGGACATAAAACAAATTAGTTAAAATATCGATATTCGACTATTACATTGTCGATTGCAAGTCTTAATGTATTCATATTAAAATAATAAATACCCCATTAAAAAAAACGCTTTTCCCATTTACCAATTTCTAATTGTAATTATATAAAATAAACTGCCTTTTCGCCTGAATTTGCCTAGTATTTAAATGAATATTTAAAAACAAAGTTGTAGGGACTCTGTACTCCCCCTAGAAACCTGGAACTCCTGATCAAAAACGCGAATCCATGCACAAAACTGTTATGAAGCATTAAAAGTCAGACTAATATCCCCACCCAGACACAAACACACACATACTTAAATCAACCCATTTACCCAGATAGCTTTTGCGAAGACGGGAAAAGACTTCAGGTGTTCAGCTCACCTGCACTGAAAGCTTAATTGAGCTTTTCTGAACATTCCACCCACGTCCGTCAGTCCGTCTGCCTGTTAATCCGCCCATCTATCGCTGTCTTTTTTTCTTTTTGTAAACTTGTTTTCATGAACCATTGGACGAATTTCAAGGCAATAGAGGGTTAAATGAAGGGTTTTTTTTGTCAACATAAAAATACAAAATATTCAAAATAAGACAAATATAGGGTAAAGACATGTACAATCTTTTCTCAACTGTTAAAATTATGACCTTTAGCGTAGGATTGGATAACAACAGATTTAAGAAGGAAAAAAAGCATGGCCAACATCACCTTAATACTTATAGAAATAGCATAAGATAACCCACACTGTACTGTACGAAGTTTAGTCCTATCGATGGACAGTCACGTGATGAATGCATAGTTCGTGTACGCAGCACAGTTAAGGTTACAAATGGAAATATCGGCGATTTTTTAAGATAAAAAATACATACTTTATTAGGATATTCGAATCTTTTTAGGAATTCACTGATATCAGAAAATGCAATGTGGTTAAAATCTACATGTTGGGGACATTTAGATTTTTTATTTAGACTTGTCATTTGATGTCGACGTCAAATGACTTTGGCAATCATACTTGCAGTTTAGAGGTCATCTACTAATTTCAATATTGCAAAGGCATAACCAAGCTAAAATCTAAGTTTATCATCCTTTTCAACACTATATGTAAATTATGAAAAGTGCTGCGAACCTATATATTTTTTAATTGGTAAAATTTAATTTGTTGGACGGCAGGTTGAATATTTTGCTGGTCAACTACATTGAATATAGCTATAATTAATTCATTTGCAAGATTTCAAGAGGTTCAGCAGCACTTTTCAAATATTTTTTATGCTTCTTGAGTTTATGTGTAAAATTTTGACAAGATACATTGAGGGTATGACCTTGCAATAAATCGATTCATTACGGCCCTTCCATTTCTTTTTCAATGAATCTGCATACAAACACACGGCAGTATCGCTTGTCTGATAAATGCACGTACAGTTAATGAATAAAATACTAAAAAAAACATCGCATCCAAGTTAAGGCTTTTTATTTTACCGCAAATAATATTTTTATTTGAGAATAAAAGGCATTTGTCATTGTAAAAAATGTGACTTGATCAGCCTCTGATTGTGTAAAAACTGCGTCATTTTTGTGAGATGACGTCACATTGACAAGTGCATTGCGATCGATGCATCGTTTATATACTGTTGTGTGGATTTAACAAACGACAAAACTGCATGTAATAGCAAGTTTGTATGAATAAGTATACAGCTATCCAGCTGTCTGAAATAGCAAATAATTTCATTTTGTGGTATTTTGAAGACCTTATATTATGCGTGACGTCAAAGTAAACATTTCTCGTACAAATTAGGCTCCGCCTCCTTACTGTAACCTTAACTGTGCTGCGTACTGAATGTAGGTTATTAACAAATTTCAATATCACAAGGGCATACCCTAGTTGAAATTAAAAATTCAAGCTATTAATTTTTTTCTACATACTTTGTAGTTTCTGAAAAGTGCTGCTGTCACCAATATGATGTCATGTTTACAAGTTCATCGTGATCAGTGCTTTGTTTATAACCAGCTACATGGGATTTAACTAGCAACTTTTTAATGCATTGATAAGTTACATTGTTGTTTATTATGCTAATACAGTTAAAAGTTGCAAGTTATTTCATTTTTAGGTATTATATGAAAAATACATAAAAGTCATATTTTTGTGTGACGTCTCAGTAAACTTTTCCAGTATAAATTAGGCCCCACCCCCTTTTTCAAGCCTTAACAATGCTGCACAGGGAAATTGCGTGTCAAACTAGTTGTTGACATCATCTCAGTGAGTAAAGTGTGATCAAGGTGGCTTTTATTTTACATACAAATAGTGTAATGTCAGGATAATATTCTTTAGAAGGAATGAGATCTTTGTTTCGAGGATTTTTAAAAAATATAGAGACACAAAAACATTTAGATCTACAATTACAATAAATCTTAAATGACAGCTCTGCGTTGGTGAAACATATGACGATTATGGATATCCCGAACATTCTTTTGGAAGATTAAAATTCCATAAAACAATGCAAAATCTATTTTATTTATTGATTCCCTGTGTTTTGATTGGAAGAGAGCGAATCTAAGAAAAAAATTACATCTTGATGAATTCTTCATTCAGAACTTCTTTCTTCACCTAGCGTTTATTATTTTAAAAAAAGTACGTAAGGGTTGCCCGCAACCCTGTGTCTCGCCTGCTGTCGCTGTGGTTAGTAAGAAATGATTGTCTGATAAACTGAAGCATTTATTGACATTTCAGAAGGAATAACTCAAAAATACAATAATAAAGAAATGGAACAGCTGACTTAATATCTAATCCCTTGGCGATTATATTGGCATTTATATATATATACATATACCCTGTAAATTCACAAATTATTGTGATGTTTTTATTATTGCGAATATTGCAACGTGTTATGAGTCGCAATAATTTGAACTTGCATTTTGAAATCAAATCCACTGTATATGTATCAAGTCATTCATGCAGAAAATGTAGGTGAAGATTACCTAATTATGGTACTGATATTGTTGGTTACCCATGATGTGTAGACTGACAAATTATCATGCCACTATAAGTTATAGTTGCTGAGATATGGACCTCCACCATAAATTTATGCAAAGTCACTCATGCGGAAAAATGTAGGTCAAGATGACCTAATTCTGGTACAGGCGTTTGTGGTTACCCATGATGTATCCACTGACAAATTATCATGCCACTATAAGTTATAGTTGCTGAGATATGGACCTCCACCATAAATTTATGCAAAGTCACTCATGCGGAAAAATGTAGGTCAAGATGACCTAATTCTGGTACAGGCGTTTGTGGTTACCCATGATGTATCCACTGACTAACTATCATGCCACTATAAGTTATAGTTGCTGAAATATGAACCTCCATTATCAATTTAACCAAAGTCATTCATGCAGAAAAATGTAGGTCAAAATGACCTAATTCTGGTACTGATGTTGTTGGTTACTTATAACCTGTACAATGACAAATCATCATGCCATTATAAGTTATAGATGCTGAGATATGGACCTCCACCAAAAATTTAACCAAAGTCACTCATGCAGAAAAATGTAGGTCAAGATGACCTAATTCTGGTACTGACGTTTGTGGTTACCCATGATGTATCCACTGACTAATTATCATATCCCTATAACTTATAGTTGCTGGAATATAGGTCTTCACCATAAATTATCATGAAAAAACTAAGTCCAACTTAAGGAAAAAATACGGAAAAATTTGAATTTTTTTTTTCAAAATCATACTTGGGATATAAATTTTTATCCATACTGAATATTGTGTCCAAATTTCAAGAAGACTGAATAAAATTTGAGAAAGTTATTGCAGTTTATAAAACTTTGACATTTGGGTTAACCAAAAGTTGGACGCCGACGACGACGACGACGACGACGGAATCTATGGTCGCTATGTCTCGCTTCGCGACATTCGTCGCAGGCGAGACAAAAAGGAACAAACTGTTACTTCCAATCTGTTATGGCTTAATTATATGAACAAAAACAATAAATGACATGAAACAAAGCTGCCGACATAGAGGGCAACAGACGTAGATATTATATTTATGTCAGTGTAAGATTTTTGTTTGATATTAGAATTTCGACGTTCCTAATAGAGGAAACAAATCAACTCGATCAGTTCTCGGTAGCGTTGTGATAGAAAGAAGGATATGGAGATAACGAACAGTATTTAATCTCAAAGTCCATAAAACAATACAAAACAAGAGCAGAGCAAACACGGACCTCCAAACCATCAGAGGTGGGATCAGGTGCCATAGAGAAGTGAGCATCCCCTGCTGACCGTCACATCTGCCGTTTGCTCACTCTCACTGTCATGATCGTAAACTAACGGGTAAAAATCCCTCCTCAATTCAGTTCATAAATAATGGACTACATTTGGACTGAAAAACGTCAGTCAGCATTTAACATTTAAATATTTAAGAAATTAACATACCACAGACATTTGCCTTATTGGCATTCAATTCGTATTTATACTTCTTATATTATTTCCTATCTTTAAA